CCCTGCATCGCCCAGAGCATCCTTTCCCAGCTGGTGCCCGCCCGCCAGCAGCCGCGCTCGCTGCTGCTCTTGCCTGCTGGTGTGACTTCTTTGTGCTGTGTTTTTTTTTGTCCGTGCCTCTTTTCTGCAGGACCTGTTCGTCCTTCTTCGGGCTATAAGAAGGCAGATGATGAGATGTCCCGGGCCACGTCTGTTGGAGACCAGCTGGAGGTACCAGCTCGCACCATTTACCTCAACCAACCGCATCTCAACAAATTCCGTGACAACCAGATCAGGTAGGAGAAGGAGGCTGAGAGACACAAGAAGCAGTGCATTCACAGCTGAGATGGGGCTCATCTTCCTCTGGTTAGCGTTTGCACGCACCTAGCAAGCCCCCCGCCTCTATCTGCTTCCTCCAGCCCCTTCCACTCCCCTCCCCCTCCCCCCTGAGCCTAGCAGTCTATACCTACGCTTCCAATGGGGTCATATGAATACAGCCTTTACCTTTCTGTCCTTTGCATCTATCTATTCTGTGCTCAGGCTGTCTGTGAGCCCTGAGGAAGTTTTCATTCTAACGTCTCTGACGAAAATGAGGCTCATCTTTTTATCACTGAGCTCCCTTCCAAGAATTTCCCCTCGTCCTGTTTTAAGCCAGCTGATAGCTCTTCTTAGCAATTTACAGACCATAATATGGGGGAAGTGCTTTATAAGTGAATCCCACAGGTCACAAGAACTCATATTCACATCTAAATGGCCCAGGACACTTGTGAAGCAGTCTTTATTTAATGGGAAACTGCCCAGAGTTAGCAGACCTTTAAGTGTCTACTTTTTTCTGGCCCCTGTGTCAGATGCTTCAGCTATACTAGTTTCATAAATCCTCATAACTTCTTGAAGAAGGCATTACTACCTTCGGATCAGGAAACTGAGATAGAAAGATGCTAAATAATGTACCTATGGTCATATAACTACTAAATGGCAGAGCTGGAAATAGAACCCAGCCTGTGTGTCTCCTAAGGCTCAAATTCTTTCTGCTGTGCAATGCTAGATCATTAGGCATGGGTGTGAGTACGTTTTCAAATTTCATTAAACTTTCAGGCTTAGACAACTTTATCTCGGGGAGTGACTTTAGAGGATGTAGTTCTGTGAGTGGCTCAGAACACCAAGTTCAGGTGTAGAGAAATTAAGTGATTGATCGGGTTACATAGAGATTATTGACAAGTTCCAATTCTGTGTTCTTTCTAGAAAGCTCTGGCTAAAACTTGGCTGTTGTTATATGTTCAAATATTACATTACAGCAGTAGCATGTGCACAGGCTACTTAACGTGACTTCTTTATTTAGGATAGTTTGGCTGTTGGACATAGTTGTAGCTTGATAGGATTTAGGGTAGAATAATGGTGCATATTATGTGGAGGTGATACCTTCCTCTATTAAGGGAGTGTTAGATTAGCTGGGCTTTATTTTGGGTTTTAGGAATGACCATCGGGGCATATTTTATACATAAAAGTGTAGCTTAGAAGAATAGCTGAAGCCAAATTCTAGAATGAGTGAGTGTGATTTAAGATACAGAGCATCAACCACCAAAAGTTACCACTTCACACACTAGATTGGATCTAATAAAAAAGAATAACAAATGTTGACAAGGATGTGGAGGAATTGGAACCCTCCTACTTTACTGATGGGAATGAAAAATGGTGCAGCTGCTATGGATAACGGTTTGGCAGTTCCTCAAATGGTTAAATGTAAGGTTACCGTATGTATGACCCAGCAATTCATCTCCTAGGTACATATACCCAAGAGGAATGAAAACATGCCCACAAAAAAACTGTACACGAATGTTCACTGTAGCATTATTCATAATAGCCAACAAGTAGAAATAATCCACATGTCTGTCAACTGATGAGTGAATGAATAAAATGCGGTATATCCATACAATGCAATATTAGTTGGCCATAAAAGAAGTGAAATACTGATGCATGCCACAACAGAGAAGAACCTTGAAAACATGATAAGTAAAGGAAGCCAGTAACAGAAGGCCTCATATTACAGACATACCCCAGAGATATTGTGGGTTCAGCTCCAGACCAGCACCACGAAGTATCACAATAAAATGATTTGTAATATTTTTGCTTGTGGAGGATCGTCCATACAGTCTGTAAAAAACACAACATCTGTGAAGTGCAATAAAATGAGGTACACCTGCATATGATTCCATTTGTATGAAATATCCAGAAGAGACAAATCTATTGAGACATAAGATAGTTCAGTGAATGGTTCTTAGGGCTGAGGAAGGGAGAAATGTTTGGGAAATGGGGAGTGACAGCTAATGTGCATGGGGTTTCATTTTGGGGTGATGGTTACACAACTGTGTGAATATACTTGAAATCACTTATAATCTTACACTGCCGATATAGTTTCATTTCCTCATACATTGTCACATGTGTTTCTATTGAATTACTTTTAATAAAGATACCATTTCTTTTTAAAGAGATTTATACTATATAAGGATATGGAATTGAAGAGTTACTTTTCTTTGTAAACTTTGGTATATTTTCATATATATATATATATGGGGGATTATTGGGGAACAGCGTGTTTCTCCAGGACCCATCAGCTCCAAGTCAAGGAGCTGTTTCAATTTAGTTGTGGAGGACGCAGCTCAGTGGCCCATGTGGGAATCAAACTGGCAACCTTGGTGTTATGAGCACTGGGCCCTGTGCTCTAACCACCTGAGCTAACCGGTCAGCCCAACTTTGGTATATTTTCAAGTAGTAGTTTTGCTTAGTTCCCATTTCTTTAATTTTGGTGTCCATTTGTGCATGCTGAAAGCTGGGGGAATGAAATTGAGGTCTTTGTTTTTGCCTAAATTCGCCAGGTTCCATGGGAGGGGAAGATTTTGAAAGCCTTGGAAATGAGACTTCACAACCTGTTTGTAATCAAGACTCCAAGCTGGCTTTTGACACTGATGTTTTTATCAGTCAGAGAGATTTCAAGTGGCTACCTGTCTTATAGTTTGATTTGTACTTGTTTGGGGTGGGGGAGAAATAAATATGGGAAAGCACAGTGAAGGCTGGCTAGGAATAAAGTGGGTACATACCAGTTATTCTGTTTAAAGCCTTGTATAAGTATATAATTGAATTAGTTGACATGTGAATATATCATACGTTAAATTCATAGAATTTCTGAGGTCATGGCTTATACTATGAGCGTAAGTTTCAGAATACACTGAATAGGGTCTAAGAAATTAAAATGTGGCCCTTGCTGTTCTATTAAAAGATGGCCTTTGAGTATTTACTTTAGCTAGACTGTATATTTAAATAGGCACTACTAATGGTCATGTGACTCATAGTTCATTAAGGAATTGATTATAAAGCTTCTTGGCATTATGATAATTTAGGGAGTTTACAAAGTGTTGAGCCACATTGTTTTTGCACTTCATATTGCTGAAGTCAAGCTTTATAAAAATATTGATTTTTAAAAATAAGGCTTTTTATCTTGGCTATGAATGTTTGCTATAAGTTGATAAAGCTATTCAAAGGAACATTTTCATAAAAGGGAATTGATAAAGGATTTCTTTTTCTTAATATAATTTTTCTTGAGAAAAGGGTAATGGTTTTTCTTGGAGGCTGGGTATCCGACTGTTTGCTCCTAAATTGAGGTTTCAGAAGAGAAGGGACCACGTGGGACAGATGAGGTTTATGGAATTTTTTGGATGCTGTACACCTCAGGAGGCTGGCCCCCTCCGGAATGAGTTTTCTCACTTACCTTCCCCACTCCAGGCCCTTTCTGGCGAGCACTGTGGCAATGCTTGTGACTGTTCTCATGAGCAACTGGCATTTTGAATTCAGGACAGAGATCAACGTTTGCTAAAGAGGGGGGGTGGGTGCTGGGTGTTGGGGGAGGTTGGAGAGGGGGTGGTAAATTCAGGGTACAGATCGGCGGTCTAGGGTTAACATTTGGACTAGTGCATCCCAGAAGGAGGCTGGCCTGATGAGTAGGAGCGAGAAGGTCACTACTGGGGTGGACTGTGGCCTTGGCACCCCCAGGGGATGTGTGACCTGGAAACTCCAAATTCCAAGGAATTCACAATTCTGGGAGCACCTGTGCCATGGAAATTGTCGTCTTTCCAAACTTTGTTCTTGTCTTTGACACTGAACATAAAATCAGTGTTTGATCTGAAGCTGTGGGAGGTTGAAGTTTTCCATTACTGAAGCCAATAAATTTGGATTATCATAATCATGGAGAAGCATGACATGGCCTTTTTTTCCTAGGCATTGATTTTCTCGGGCCTTAAATGTGAGGACAATAACCTTGTTCATCCTCTAGAAATAAATAGTAATTAATGGAAAATTGTAATGCATATATACGTGTCTAGGATTGTGTATATGTGCATCTAACTAGATCCTTTTTTTCTAACGTATGCTATAATACCTTCTTTTAAATATTTTTAACAGCTTTATTGAAATATAGTTCACCCATTGAAAGTGTAGAGTTCAATGGTTTTTAGTATAAGAGTATCCACAGAGTTGTACAACAATCACCACAGTCAATTTTAGAATGTTTTCATTGCTACCAGAAGAAATCCCATACCATTTAGCTACCATCTCCCTTCTCCCAGCCCTAAGCAACCACTAATCTACTTTCTACCTCTATAGATTTACCTGTTTTGGACAATTTCATATGAATAATATCATTTACTTTTAAGTGTTTTAAGTTAAACATTAAATGCATATAAAAAGCTTGCTACTTAGAGGAACCTGGTGGTGAATCTTTAATTTTGTGTATCTAAATTTTCAACAAACGTTTAAAGTTAAAAACATTTTTTTCCTTCCAGAATGTACCTTGAAATAATTTACCTATCAAAGGAATGGGCAATTCCTTTTATGTAATTTATGTAATCATGATCAGACTTATGTGGCCTTTTTTTGGTGATTATCAGCATGCCATTTGAAAATAGTGACTTACAATGGTGTAAGGCCGTTTTCTTCTGTGTTTGTAATGACATCTTCAGAGCAGAGTAGGAATGTTTATAGATGCTTAGTTTTGAATGAATCATTGGATTCAGGTAGGAGTTTTACCTAGCAAAAATCTTCATTAAAGCAATAACTTGAGTCTGGTCAAACTATTGCATTTCTCCAGGCTGGGTTTGTCTTAAAGAAAAGTTGTTTTATATGAATATTTTGTTGGTTTTGCCAAGATACGTTTAAAATAGAATTTTGCCTTTGCAGAAAGAGAATTGAGCACTGTGTGGTCAGTTTTACAGTCTCATTGTTTTATAATATTATGCTGGGATCCAAA